TGCAACCTCGTCAACTGTGAAAAGGAAAGTGAGGATTGCACGATGGTCAGAAACATCGAATTATATGAGAAATAAATGCCATAAACTGCCTAAGGATCATGATTCTTGTAAAAAATCCACATCAGTAAACATTTCCTTCATGCTGATAGGCACACATACGTTAGGTAACGCTGACATGTGGAAGGAATAGCATGAGGGAATGGAAAGTATGTGTAACATTATAACTTCTGTGATTTCATTTCTTAATTGTTACTTATCAAAGGTCCAGTGTGATTCTTGCAAGAGGTGGGCACATATGCCCTGCATTACAGAAGGAACCAATCAAGACTACCTGACTGATGACAAGAAAGAGTACAACTGCAAAAAATGTGCATAGTTCACTTCTTTACCCCCTCCCGAAATTGTTTAAATGCCTCTTGTTCAAAACATAATGCAACCAAAAGACATTTTTCATGTATATACCAGATTATAATAATAAATGTTCTTTACTTTAAAAAATTGTTCTCTGTATTTGTGTCCATGTATATGATGCAAATTGGAAGAGTAAAGTAAAAAAATGAAAGTGGTCTCACCTTGGGCTCAGGGGCATGAGCCGTACCCCCAAATCTTACCTCCCTTTTCACAAATTCAATGAAAGGGGCCACTCTGGTCTCACCTTGGGCTCAGGGGCATGCTCCGTTCCCCCAAACCTTACCTCCCTTTTTAACGATTCACACACAAAAAAGCGAAACAGCATGCCTCAATCATGCAATAGATCAATTTGGCACATTAGCCAGGAGGAAGCAGACCGTGAGTGTTTTCGACCACAAACCCCATCCCTCCCGTTTTGCAACCATCCCTGGACCAGTGACAGGTGCATGAGCAGCCAAGTCATTGGAAATAAGCAAGGAGGAAGCCAGTGGAAAAACTGAAAGGGACCACTCTGGTCTCACCTTGGGCTCAGGGGCATGCTTCGTTCCCCGAAACCCTAACTCCCTTTTCACAAATTCAATGAAAGGGGCCACTCTGGTCAAGAAGCAGATCGGGATTGTTTTTGACCACATACCCCATCCCTCCTGATTCGCAACTCCATGGACAGGCGGTAGCAAGTTAACAAACTGTTTCACAAACTGTCACGTTGCGTGGCAGAAACCACACCCAGTTGCAAGACGGGAGGGTTGCGTTTCGTGTCGTTACACCCCTCCGCCCCAGCTTACCTGCTGCTGCCTCTCGCTTGCCCCTGCTTCTTTTCAGACTTCCCGTGAAGATCTGATTCAGGGGAAGCAGGGGAGGGGGAGGAGCAGGGAGCGGAGCGTTCAGGGGAGGGGGAGGAGCAGGGGGCGGAGCGTTCAGGGGAGGGGGAGGAGGGGGAAGACAGCTGTAGGCCGGACAGCATGGTAAGGCTGCAGGGGATGGGGGGAGCCGGGAAGGGGCTTTGGGTGCCCAGCGGTGCTTGTCCGCCGCTTTTTTGTCTATAAATGTCCGGGATTTCCCCCCGGTCGGCTATTTTTAGATTTTTAAACCCCCCCCCCGGACGGCTATTTATAGACCGAAAAGCCGGACATGTCCGGGGAAATCCTGACATATGGTAGCCCTATGTGACTTCCAGTATAACTGATTTCCTGTCCTGTTTTCAACAATTACTTTGCATTTGATCCAGCAATGAGGATTGCCTTTTCCTGCATTTATCTTGGCTGTATCCAGCCCTTAGTGTCCCATGTTCACAGTCGTTGCTTGCGTGTAGAAGTTGACTCACAAATATTCATTATGTGTATTATATTGTGTCATCTTATATCCTTCCCAAGGGCAAAAATCTTTTGCAACAATGGAGGTTTGGGCTGATGAACCGTGGCTGCAGAACTTGGATGCTCAAGTCCACATTCCTGCATCTGTGAGCAAAACTCACCCAAATAAAAGCTACACTGACAATGGAGAAGCAAATATAGATTGCACTATGGGGACCTGCAACACCAGATTCTTATTGGTCAATCAGAGGTCTCTCTACTAAACCAAGGTGGAATGGATTTCTTTAATGTAAGTAGTGAGAACATATTGTTAAAGATCATTTCATGTTCAATACTCTGTTAATACCTCTGCAGTCACAGAACAACAAAGTACTGTAGTATTACTCGGTTTCAGACTGTTAGAATCATAGAATCATAGAATATCAGGGTTGGAAGGGACCTCAGGAGGTCATCTAGTCCAGCCCCCTGCTCAAAGCAGGACCAATTCCCAACTAAATCATCCCAGCCAGGGCTTTGTCAAGCCGGGCCTTAAAAACCTCCAATGAAGGAGACTCCACCACCTCCCTAGGTAACGCATTCCAGTGCTTCACCACCCTCCTAGTGAAATAGTGTTTCCTAATATCCAACCTAGACCTCCCCCACTGCAACTTGAGACCATTACTCCTTGTTCTGTCATCTGCAACCATTGAGAACAGCCGAGTTCCATCCTCTTTGGAACCCCCCTTCAGGTAGTTGAAGGCTGCTATCA